CATCCCTTAAATACACCACCTGCAATCAGCTCCAGGTGATGGCTAATTGCCGAAGTGAACCTCTGGTTGTTGAGAGCACCCGCTGGCCAGCCCTGGTACTGCAGCCCACAAGGCAGGTGAGTCCCACCACTATTGGCAAGTCCATTCCTGACACTTGTTATGCCTACCACATCCATCATATAGCAGACGAGCAAAGAGGAGAGAGTAACCGTGATTATTGATGTAGAAAACTCATATTGCAGTCTTATTTCTGTTAAAAACATATTTAAATTTCTTGTTCAATCTTTCATTAGAAAGTTTTCAAGCAAAAAATAATACATAGGTTAAAGTGATTGTAAAGGATTTTTTTTTAAATAACAAACATTTCTATACTTACCTGGTCTGTGCAATTCCATTGGGTCACCGAATGGAGCTCATGGCTCCTCCTCTCTGTCCGGTGCCTCCATGGGAAGCAGCTTCTTTTGTGCGTGCTTACTCCCGAGCCCCGCTGCTGCGTCCAGTGACTCTGCCCCACCCCCTGCTCCCTCGTCTCTGGTTTTGATTGACAGCAGCGGGAGCCAATGGCTCCTGGTGCCCCAGCAAAGCCAGTGAGATATAGAATTGAGGGGAGAGAAGAGCTGCAGACATGCACAGCGCTGGATGGAATGAGGGGCTCAAGTACGTATAAGGGGTGTGAAGGGCCAAAACCAATGCCTAAACATTTTTACCTTAATGCAAGGAATGCATTAAGATAAGAAAATATTTGGGCTTTAGGACTATTTTAAAGCGGAGTTCCAGTGAAAATATATATATATAAAAAAAAAAAAAAAAAGTCAGCAGCTATAAAAACGGTAGCTGCTGATTTTTAAAAACTGAACACTTACCTGTCCCTTGGTCATGCGGTGTCCCCCCTCCTTTCCCCCGTTTCACCGGCTGCCCTGTGTTCCCAGCGCTGGCATCTTCATTGTGGGCACCCGGCTGTGACAGCTTGTAGCTTCATAGCCAGGTGCCCACTGCACACGCTCGAGTAGCGCTGCACTTTGTAAATGGTCCCATAGTCTTCTGGGACCTGTCACGTGGCTTTAAGTTATTGTTAGTATTTTGAATTTAATTCCTTCGGTGAGTGTCACCCAATGGAGAGATTGGCAGAGGGGGGTGGCAGACACTGAATGGTTGGTAAGGTGGATGAGTCTGGCAGCAGCATTCATGATGGACCAGAGAGGGGGGATTGCCTAAAGGTAATCTATTGAGGATGGATATGCTGTAGTCGAGGCGAGAGATGACTAGGAAGTGGACTAGGAGCTTTGTAGTTTCATTGGTTAGGAAGAGGAGTTCAGCATCCAGGATTACACCTAGCACCCTGGCATGCGGGTTCAGGTTGGTGTGCCATTGATCGTGAGAGAGAAGTAAGGGGAAGGGGCATGTGGGGAAGGAAATATTAAGGGCTTGGTTTTTGATAGAGTTTTTGAGGAAGTGGTGTGACATCCAGGCTGATATCTTTGTTAGTAGATTAGTGATGCGTGAGGAGACTGATAGAGTGAGCTGAGGGGTAGAGAGATAGATTTGGGTGTCGTCAGTATCGAAATGATATTGAAAGCCATTGGAGGATATCAACTGACCTAGGCAGAAGGTGTAGACTGAGAATAGGAGAGGTGCAAGAACAGAACCTTGGGGGGCCCGACGGAAAAAAGAAAGATAGGAGGAAGTAGAATTGTAAATGATACTGAATGTGTGGTGGGATAGGTAGGATAAGAACCAATGAAGAGTACGTTCACAGAGACAAAAAGAATAAAGTGTTTTTGGGGAGGAGGGAGTGGTCAACCGTATCAAAGGCAGTCAAAAGGTCCAGAAGTAGGAGCACAGAATAGTGTCCATTGGTTTTTGTTGCTAGTAAATCATTTGTGAGTTTTAGGAGAGCAGTTTCTGTGGAGTGTTGAGGATGAAATCCAGACTGAAGGGGATCAAGAAGGTAATTCTTAATAAGGTGGTCTCTCAGTTGGATGTAGACCAAGAAGTTTGGAGGAAAAGGGGAGCAAGTAGATGGGGCATAGGTTGTTAAGACTGGTGGGATCCAAGGAAGGCTTTTTGAGTTTGGGGGTGACTAGTGCGTGTTTTATAGAGTTGGGGAAGCTGCCAGAAGAGAGGGAGAGGTTGAAGATGTAAGTTAGAGAATGTAGGATAGAGCCAGAGGGTGACAGTAGTATTTGAGAGGTAATAAGAGTCCAGGGGACAGGTGTTTAGGTGGGCGTTAGAAAAAAGTTTAGCAACCTTGTCTATAGTAGAAGGGTTGAATATGAAAAGTGATGAGTGTACCTGTGGACATGGGGTGTTAAGTGGAGGGGGAGATCTGTAAAGCTGAAATTTCATCACAAATTGTATTAATCTTATTTTTTAATAGAGATCTGAAAAATTTGTATTTTTGACCATGATATATTTGTGATATTGCATATGTAAGTATTATTCATAATCTGAAAGTGTTATTGCATACCTTGGCTTAGTGGTCAGCACTTCTACCTTGCAGTACTAGAGTCCCTGTTTCCTATCCTGGTCAGGACAGGATTTGAATGGAGTTTGCATGTTCTCCCTGCAGTTGTATGGTTTCCTCCCACACTCTAAAGACATGCTGGCAGGTTACTTGGCTTCTTTCTAAATTGGCTCTAGTATGTGTATGTATGAATGTGAGATGGGCCTTAGATTGTAAGCTCCTTGCGGTCAGGTACTGATGTGAATGTACAGTATATAAAGTGCTACTTATATTGTCTTCACTATATAAATACCTGTAATAACCAAAAATAAACAAAATTTATGCAGATATTTCAATTGTGTACTCGTATAATTATAGACTTCCACCTACTTATATTCTGCTGAATAACGGACTCATGTTCATGAAACATGTCGAATTTTTTCCACACCTGCCCACCACTAGCAGATTTATGTAGATACATTTGATACTTAAATAATGATGGAATAATTGGTAAGTTGTAGGCAGAGAGTTGAATAGTCACTCGATGTTAAATAATGTCCACAATGTGTTATGATATTTTAACCACTTCATGCCGGCCGAACGCAAATGTGTGGACTCCCGGCGTCTAGGCCTAGACGCCGAGTGGCCGCACATTTGCGTTCTATTAAAAAAGAACATATGTGCTGAGAGCACGCGGACCTTTCCCGATCATGTGACCGCCATGACGGCGTGTCACGGTGGTCACATGACCCTAAATCCCGCCCCGCCTCCCGGCTTCTGAAACCCTTAAAGGGCCGGGAGGCAGCGGCATGAAAGGGTTAAACTAGTATTACTAAAACTAAATATGTTTCCCACTTGCAAATGAGGCCATTAGCGATTATATGTGGGAGACCCAACAAGGGTTTCCAGTGCTAGCAGTGGGCGGCAACTCCCACAGCTAATCGTGGCCACTCGCTTGTAATTACCTGCGAATGATCGACTCTGGATGCAGACTGTCTATGTGTCCAGGGCTGATCATTTGCAGGTAATCGCTCCATGATCAAATTAATGTGGGCAGCCCCAGATTAGCTGCGGGAGTTGTCAGCCACCCATTGTTTTTAATGGGGCTGATGCACACTGCTAATCACCAGAAACCCCTGCTGGGTCTCCCACCTGTAATCCCAAGGGCCCCATTCCCAAGTGAGAATGGGGCCTTACCGCCTTCTCTAAATGTAATATCCCATGGTACTGGAAGCTGTTGACACTTTTAAAGGTTGCAGGTAAGTATTTCAAATAGTGACACTCTTTTTGTAGTACTCTTTGTGAACTTTAGCTGAAGAACATTTAGTTTCATCTATGCACTATCTATGATAAACATTTGCCAAAAATATTGATTTAAACTTATATCCCCTATTCTTTTTTTTTTTGCATCTCAGTGCTGCTGATCTATTCCAGCCTCTTTCATTCACCTCGTCTACTCGTTCCTGGGTCAGCTGCACATCATTGTCCAGGAGTGGCTTCATAAGCCCTCACGCACACAGGATGTTTTGATAACGCTGGTAACGATAGCTGTGTAAAGTCACTTTAAAAACGTGAGTTTTTCAGCTTTTTTAGCGTTTTTGCAATAGTGTTTAACAACGTTTTACCACGGCTATCGGCGTTTTCGGTTTTTAGTCCAAAAAAGTCCAAAAACGCCGGTTTGCGGCATTTTACCATGTTTTTCAGCATTAGAGCATTTTTACAGTTAAAAAATTCCTCTAGAAACCCACTAGTCCTGGGTTTTTTGGTGCTTGTCTGTTAATTTACCGGATTTATTTATATTTTTTATATATATATATATATATATATATATATATTTTTTTTATATGTTTTATTTAAATATATCAAAAATATATATATATGTATATATAAATAAATAAATAAATCCGGTAAATTAACCCACTTGCCTACCAGGCACTTATACCCCCTTCCTTACCAGGCCAATTTTCAGCTTTCAGCGCTGCCGCACTTTGATTGACAATTGCGCGGTCATGCAACATTGTACCCATATGAAATTTTGATCATTTTTTTCTCACAAATAGAGCTTTCTTTTGGTGGTATTTAATCGCCACTGGGCGCTTTACTTTTTGCGCTATAAATTAAAAAAAGTGCAAAAAATTTGAAAAAAAAAAAAAAAAAAGTTTATTTGTTTCTTTTATAAAATTTTTCAAACAGGTATTTTTTCTCCTTCACTGATTTTTTTTGATGAGGCGGCACTGATGGGCACTGATAGGCGGCACTGATAGGCAGCACTAAAGGCACTGATAGGCAGTACTAATGAGGTGGCACGGATAGGCGGCACTGATAGACAGCACTAATTAGGGGTCACGGATAGGCGGCACTGATATGCAGCACTGATAGGCGGCACTGATAGGTGACACTGATGATGGGTATTGATAGACGGCACTGACTGGCATCACTTCTGGGCACTGACTGGCGGCACTGACTGGCACAAACCCCTGGGCACTGACTGGTGCACTGACTGGCAGCACTGGTGGGTGGCACTGGTGGGTGGCACTGGTGGGCAGCACTGGTGGGTGGGCACAGGTGGGTGGCACTGGTGGGCACAGGTGGGTGGCGCTGGTGGTCACAGGGGCACAGGTGGGTGGGCACAGGTGGGTGGCACTGCTGGGCACATGTAGGTGGCACTGCTGGGCACAGGTAGGTGGCACTGCAGAGTGGCACAGGTGGGGGCACTGCTGGGCACAGGTGGGGGCACTGCTGGGCACAGGTGGGGGCACCGCTGGGAATGGGTGGGCGGGGCTAGTGGGCGCACAGCTGATCGGAACTTGCGGGGGTCACTGCTGGGCACCGATCATCAGGGCACTGATCATCAGTGCCCTGATGATCGGTTGCCGATCCCCGCTCTGACAACTGCCGGTTCTCGGCAGTACTTTCCTCACGATCTGACAGCGTGAGGAAAGTGCAGCCGAGAACCGGCACTTGCATTTTCCTGTGATCAGCGTGTCATTGGACACCGCTGATCACGTGGTAAAAGGCCGGTGGGATCGGCCTTTCACCACATCTCGTGATCAGCTGTGTCCGTAGGACACAGCGATCACGGAGATCGCCGGGTGCGCGCCCCCTGGGGCGCGCAAGAGAGCGCGTTCTGGGAGGACGTCATATGACGTCCACTCAGAACTGGCCGGCCGCGGTGAAGCCGTCATTCGGCTATGCGCGGTCGGCAAGTGGTTAACAGACAAGTACCGTTTTTTTTTTCCAGCCAAAAAACATCCCAACCAAAAAAAAAAATTGATTACAGTCTATGTGTGCATGGACACATAGGATAACATGGGGTGGGGGGGGGGGGGGGGGGTTACTGGCTGTAGAAAAAAATGTCAACAGCCAAAAACAGCTGTAAAAACGTCAAGTGTGCATGAGGGCTAATAGTGGCAGCAGTGTACCATATTAAAGCTTCTGTGCAAAGTCTGGTGTAGCTCTGCATAGAAACCAATCAGCTTCCAGTTTTTTGTTTTTTTTTTGTCAAAGCTTAATTGAACAAGCTGATTGGCTACTATGCACAATTGCACCAGACTGTGCACTCTCCAGTTTTAGTAAATCAATCCCTCTGTATCATCAAACTAAAAATATAAATTTGGATCTGAACATTAAACTTGTCAAAAACATTTTTTTTTGTTTTGTTAGTGAACTGCTAAGTCAAAGTCCTGTTTAGATTCCCCTTACTTTATACTTTCATTGGATAGTTGATGTGCTCCAGGCACTGCCAGCCTCTAAATTGCTTTAAATGGGGCTTCCCATCTGCAGCTGTTTGCAGGAAAACCCTGCTGAGTCTCACACAAGTGTGAATGAATCCTAGAAGATCAGAAATAATCCACTTGTATAAATAATAGGACTCCAAATTTTGTTACAGGATCTTCTTTGAAAATGAATAATAAGCATTAATATTTGAAAATGTACAAATAAGATTTTATGTGCACAGATTGGAGCCTTCAGACTGATTCACACAATCAATAAATGAAGGGAAATTCCCTTGCAAAGCAAATAGCCTATTTAAGGCCCCTTTCACACGGGCGTTTCGTTTTTTTCATCAGTTCAGTTACGTTTTTTCCAAGAAAAAATGGATCAGTTCACATCAGTTTTTCATCAGTTTACATCCGTTTTTTTTTTGTCCATTTCCAACAGTTTTTCATCCATTTAAGTCCATTTACTCCCCTTTACATCCGTTTTTTTCGTTCATTCCGTTTTTTTTTTTTTTTTAACGGAAGAAAAATAGGGTTTTCTTATATTCAAAAAAACGGATGTTAACGGATGGGGACATTAACCACTTGCCCTCCTGAGGATTTACCCTCCTTCCTGACCAGGACATGTTTTGCGTTAATGGATAGGCAGAAGTACAGGTTAGACGCTAATAGGGTGTCACACATGCACCTTATTTAACAAGTAACACCATGCTTTTCCCTCCCCCCGCTCTGCATCCCCCACTTTCATCGTAGCTGGCAAACCCTGCCAACCAGCCCTAGAAGCCGAGCACTACACATGGGAGAGAATATGAGCGAGGATTAGGGTTTCCACCTCATCCCTTTAAAACTGAACACATATTAACCACTTGCCCTCCAGAGGATTTACCCCCCTTCCTGACCAGACCATTTTTTTCGATACGGCGCTGCATTACTTTAACTGACAATTATGCGATCATGCAATGCTGCACTCAAATTAAATTTAAGTCCTTTTTTTCTCAGGAATTGAGCTTTCTTTTGGTGGTATTTGATTGCCTGTGCGTTTTCTATTTTTTTGTGCTATGTGCTATGAAAAAAAAAAGACCGACAATTTTGAGAAAAAAAATATATGTTTTTGACTTTATGCTATTAAACATGTCCAGTAAAAAAATTTAAAAAATCAAATTTCGTCATAATTAGAGATGAGCGAAGTATTCAAAAATTCGATTCGGCTGATTCGGCGAATTCGAGGAATAAATTCGATTTGATGCGAATATATTCGCTGCGAATTTAACTTATAAAAAGGGTTTCTAGGCTTCAGAGAGCCTTTATATTAGTGCAGAACACTGTACCTTTAATTTAAATGCCCTTGGAGTCTGCTGGGGAAGAGAAATAATACTGTCAGTCAGTATGACATGCAGATGAGTGCCTTCGATCTTAGAATCACTGCACACTTCACTCATTTGGGCAGTCACGGGGCCAAAACCAGAGTGTGGAGCCACAGTGTGGCGGTGGAGGCAGCAGCAATGGGAGGCCATACAGCACCCTATGACAAAAATGGAACCCACCAGCAGTGTGAGGAGATCTGAAAGTGGCACATGGCAGAGTGTGGCGATGGAGACAGCAGTAATGGGAGGCCGTACAGGGACCCATGAGACACTCTGGACCTGGCAGCAGCATGAGGAGGCGAGGGTACGGGGGCCCATGGCAGATTACGGGCCTGGCAGCAGCAATGGGAGGCCCGTAATCTGCCAGCACCCTATGACAACAAAATGGAACCCACCAACAGTGTAAGGAGACCTGAAAGTGGCACATGGCAGAGTCTGGCGATGAAGTCAGCAGCAATGGGAGGGCCGTACAGGGACCCATGACACACTCTGGACCTGGCAGCAGCAAGAGGAGGCGGTACAGGGGCCCATGGCAGAGTGGCGAAGCGTAAGCAGCTTAAAATTGAAGGCCATACAGAGGCCTATGTTAAAAATAATAACATGTTTGGGGCATGATTCATGGCGGATTTAGTCATGTTGTGTCAGGAACTGGTGGTTTGAAATCCAGACTAATCCCGCCTGATTCATTTTCACAAACGTGAGTCTCTCCACACTTTGGGTGGACAGTCGTGTCCTACCGCGGAGTTACAATACCTCCTGCCGCACTAAACAACGACGCGCTCCGATGCCACGCTACTGGCCGGGCATGACAGCCTTTCAAGGGCAAAATTCAGCTAGTTGGGCCAAAGGTCAAGTTTCGTTGCCCAGTAGTCAAGGGGATTGTCTACCTCGGTTTGGCAGGGTGCTGTCCAAGTAGGCCCAAGCCTGTTGTTTGAGGTCCTGCTCCAGGTCCACCTGATGCTGCTGCTGCTGCGGCTGGGTTAGTAGTTTCCTCACTGCGCTGGTGAAGAAAGCTACTCATCATCGACTGCAGACTGTGGCAGCCGCTGCTGGTGGAGCTGCCACTGCTCCTACCACCCCACCCCTCCCCTGCTGCCATGGCAGCGGAACGCGCGCGCACAGGGCCCACAGTGTCTGAGGATGGACGTTGGCGCAGAAAAGGCAGAGATCCAACTGGACTACATAGTGTGGTTTTTATAGTACGTTATTTTGGCCTCCCTCTCAGCAGGTGTGGAAAAAGGCCACCATTTTTTGAAACTGGTAGCGAGGGTCCAACAAGGTTGGACAGCCAAAGTCATCCCTCGGTCTGATGGTTATTGTATTAGGCTTGTCGGCTACGCAAGCAAACCCGAGCATGCTATGGGCCCATTTGTGGCCAAAAGGAATGCGAGGGACTCCCTGCCTCCATCTCCACAGGCATACTGCCCTCGGTTGCGTCTGGGTACTCTGTCTCCTCCTCCTCCTCTCTCCACCAGATGCTCCTGCTCCTCCACTCCTGTCCGCTGAGTGGAAAAACCACCCATTTCACTCAACTAATCACCTGATGGTCACAATGTCCTCCTCTACCTCTCCTCTTCTTCCTGTGTCCTGCCCCACAGGGGTCATTGTGGCGTTGAGATCTGTGCGCCACAGTTCACTACCGCACCCTGACCAGCCATTGTTAACAGCATTTGTTCCAGGACGTCAACAGAGGAATGACGTCGTATTCATCCTTAGTCCTGCCGACTCACGAATAGCGTGGCCTCCTCAAACGGGCCTGAGCAAGCGGCAGGTGTCACGCATGTAAGCTGCCAATGTGGCTGACAACGAAGTTACACAGGGGAGTACCTTTATCCGCTTGTAAACATCAGGAAATCGTTGATGGCCTTTCGCTGTTCGTAAAGCACGGTCTATACATGTGTAGGGTTGAATTCCACCTTGTTGCAAACGTTCGCAGATCAGGCGATGCTGTGGATATCCTCATCTTTCTGCCGCTGCAGCTCAAGGAGGGTGTGCATTTTGCGGTGTAGGAATTGGCATGAAATGCCATGCAAAGGTTTTACGTGAGCATTTTAAGTGATGTCTTGCAGTGGGCGATGGTGGATTTTAGGTAATCCGCTTGACAAACAGATTGAACACGTGAGCCATGGCATGGCACAACCTTCCTTGACGCAGAGCAGACACCATGTTCTTTCCGTTGTCGGTCACATGGTTCCGATTTTCAGTTTGCGCGGGAGACAGCCATCTGTGGGACTTGGGGGGGGGGGGGGGGGGGGGGGGGGGGGGGGGGGGGGCGGGAGAGGGGGGGAGGTGGGGTCTCCCACCGCGGCGCGGCACAAGCCATCATTTATCAGTAAAGGTGCTGAGTCCACCACTTGGAAAGGGAGGGACTGCAGCACCAGCAACTTGGACAGGAGGACGTTCAGCTTCTGCACCGTCGGGTGCGTGCTCGCAAACTGTTGACTCTTGGAAAACGGATTCCAAGAAAGACTGCTGACGGAATCCGTGAAGAGGAGTAGCAGGAGAAGGAGCATCTGAACGAGCGGAAGATGCCAACGAGCGACAACTCCCCTCAGCAGAGAGGTGTTGTGGAGCCTTGACTGGCTGATAGAGGGCGATTGACATCGGGTGACGGAGCAAGTAACGGAGCGGGTGATGGAGCGGGGGGCTGGGGCAGGCAGAACCGCCGTTATCTTTTTATCACGGTTTTCCCAGGCCACCAAATTGGCGACGCTGCATATGCTGCCGCAACGCTGTAAGTCCCAACATGGGCCCCCTGGCCACGCTTGACTTTCTGGCACCTATGTCGACATACGCTACGTTTACTTTCTCGGGCGGCTTGACGAAAAATTGCCACACCGCCGAGTAGGAAAACTTTGCCCTACTACTCCTCACTGGCTGACTG